GGAGCGGGTCAGTCAAGCGGCGGGATCCTTTCCTCATTCCGGTGCCGTCCCTCCAGCAGCCCGTGAGGGAGGAACGGGTAAACCGGTAGGGAACGACACAAGAGAAGCCATTTTTTTCCCCCCCAGGGCGTGTCCGGGAGGCCTGGGTGCCGGCCCTCGTTCGAAAGAAGTCACTTCCCGCGCTTTCCTCCTATGAGGGGAAAACGGTAACTCCACACCGTGAAGGAGCGCGTATTCCAGATACGATACCGTAAGACCGTGGTGCAGCCTTGTGGGATTATACAGCGTATATAAACAAGGAAGCTGATCGCCTTAACTGAAAAAAGCTTAAAAAAACCTGAAAAACTTAAAAATTCCTCAGTGTCTGGTGCCTATCTTCTGTAAAAACAGAAGTGCAATCTTTAAGAGGAACTGCTTTAAATTGTACAACTCAGAGCGCAGACTGACGTTTGTAAGAGAGCGGAGATATACATACATCACTGTACATCGTCCTGTTCCTGCATTCTTTAATGATTTCAAACCTACTGTTTCCTATGAAATATGACACAATCATTTTAGCGTGACAAGTATTGAAAATCAAATATAAATTCTCTGCAGCGGTCAATAATCTTAGTTCCCATCTCCTGATGTTAGTTAAAGCCTAGTTTGCTAAGTCACATCAATCTGATTTAAATCTATTTAATGTTAGCTGTGGTTTGAAAAACCAAAGCATGACCTTATCCCCTTTCTGGCCGAAGGGGATGACTGGCATTTTACTAATCTCAGTCTGATCTTTAACTCAAGGGGGAAAAAAAAAAAAAAAAAAAAAAAAAAAAAAAAAAGAGCTTCAAAATGCACACTCTAAGCTCTTAAAATGTTACTGTGCTTGGCTTTCCTTTAGAAAAAAAAACCCAGTAACAAACCACCAAGGTGTTAATGCATTTTAAGAATGTAACATATCCAGATTAAGTTGTAGAGATCAGTAGAGCAGGAGTATTTAGATAGCCACCTCATGCAACGACTGTGTGCATCACCTTGATGCTGTCATATAAACCGTTGCAGGGTTGGAAAAAATTAAATGGACGCTGTTGGCACTATTTTATCCAGAAAGACAACAGTGTAGTAAATAAAGGGCTGCATTATCCTTTGCTGGACACAGACCAGAAAAAGAACGCAATTAAGACTTATCTCCTATGCAAAACTTCTAAAACTTTAATACTTGTTAATTCACCTCTAAACACTTACACATACTTAGCATGAATACACTTCAATGAAAATGGCAAACTGGTAACTAGTGTCTTCAGCCTCTGATGAGCAAAGAGTAAGAGGCTTGAGAAATATCAGTACATTTACAGAAGAAAAAATATTTGCAACTTCAAGTTATTCAACGGGTAATATATTTTTGTAAATATTGCAGTATAACTACAGTAGTTAAGTCACCTAATGAACTTAAACATATTGCCACCTTGATGTGTCTACAGTAGACACTGAAAACGTGAACTTTTTAATATAATTGCTTGAACTATCTCTGTTCTCAAATAGTAACTACAGACAGTTTGCTAAGGCTGTGTGTGTTACCCCCCTCACCCACGGCAGTGGTACATTAAAATATGGATTAGATATTTAATAATAATTAGCACTAAGTTGAGGTAACAGGTAAAAAATCAGTAGCATCAGCATACTGTTTACTAATTGGCATTTGCTTATCAGACCATAAAAAAACACAGATACTGGTTTATTATCTTAGTTTACACTTGGGCAATGGTATAAATTAGAAAACTGCAATTTGGAAAAATCCTACGTTAAAGAGATACTACCTCTAAACCCTTTAAGATGACAGTCTTTAGTAGTCCTGTTAGTCATTTTAAGACACAAATACAATTTCTACAGTTTGGGAAATAAATTAACTGTTACCTCCAAAGCTGCCTCAACATGTTTTCTACTATAAGGAGAGAAATAGACATTTAACTGAAAAATACAATGGACATGGTAGAGAAGACTCAGGCAAAGGAAAGCATTACTAATTCCACTACTGAATTTCAGTTTGGGTGGCCAGGAGGAAAGAGGTGATTTAAATAACAAGGTTTCAGAACACATAGTACAACTGGTAGCTCTTGAGTTGATCCCTGGTTTAATATTCATGTTACACAATTTCTACACAGGTTGTTTGGTGGTTTGTTTTTTTTTTTTCCTTAGGAACTGACAGACCTATGCTCTCAGGTGTCTGCTTTACCAGGCTGCTATTTGACAAATTCTGGAGGTGTCTCTTGTCTTCTTCCACGCAGGTTACCAGAACGATCTTTTTTCTTCTGCTCTTTCCCAGGTGCGTCTCAGAAGATACACTGCAGCATGAAGTCCCCCTACGTTCACCCATACAGTCTGACCTTTGCGCCAGATGTGTCCCATTCGTGACAAGGCCTACAATCCAAAAAAACAGCCAAAGAGTGGTGGCGGCTTCAAGATAAGATAATAAGGGTAAATTTGCTTTAGAAATTACTTTTGATTATTCTGATGGCAACATCAAGTGGTTCTTCAGGTCCAAAACTGCATTTAAATGTTACTAATTATTGCTCTAAAAATAGATCATTGTCTGAAATGAAGTCAGCTTACAATTTTTTCCTCAATATATTTTCAAGCGTAAATAGATTTGACTTTCTCTCACAGAACATACCTTGGCAAAGCATTTCTTGTCCTGCGTAAGCAGCACAGCCCTGCCTGTCCCCGGTGTGCAGATCCGGCCCATCTCCATAAGGCAGGCTGGATAGAGATCCCAGTTCTTCTTCTTCGACCCTATCCTGCAAAATAAATTAAGATCCCCTCTGTGATCACTGGAAAATAGTTCACTGTCGTTGGTCTTTCAGACATGGATTAGCTCAGTCAGGACCACATTTACTATTAATTTCAACCTGCATTTTTAATATAGAGTACATCAATACTTCTTAATTAGGCCCTGCTAAGTAACTAACTGGAGAGAACCCTAACCCTGGGCAGGCAAGCACACGCAGTAGTGGCAGTTAAGCGCAGTAACTTTACCAGCGATACCTCACCTCTTTCCAAATGGCATGTCTGTCACAATAATGTCCACAGAACCAGTCCGCAAAGGGAGGTTGCAAATATCCCACTGAATGATGTCTAAGGGTATGCCCAGGGAAGTACTGCTGCAAGTGCAAAGATGTTTATCTCAGACATGGTTTACTGAGAACATTTTTAAATTGAGGAGGTCTATAACGTTAGCAAAAGAATAAACAGGAAAACATGAACGAGATAGTCAAATGCATCAATGCAAAACGGATTTCTTACATACAATACTACAGCAAAAGAAAATCATTTGTACTCTTCTCACCTTTCCTTATTCTCATTTTTCTTTAGTAAAGAACAGATGTTGTTTGCTGCTCTCTTTACAGCTTGTGGGTTGTTATCACCAGCAATATGGTAGCAGCTAGGCCATTCTGTAGCTCCCTGGGGGGAAACATTGATAATAAGCAACATTAACATCAACACTGCTTAATTTAAAACAAAACAAACAGAAGAATTACTGAGATGTGACAGAATACGACAAAGCAAGTAGAAGTGGATGTCAATGATTTTAAAATTCTCTATCAGATATCTGTTACAAGTATTATGCACCTTAAAAGCTCAAAATGCTTTTGGATTTAGTTTCTTTCTGCTACAGCTTTGGGAAGGAAAACGAGGTGTTTTACAAAATGTGTATTTGAACCTGTTTAAAAGTTGGTGAGATACTTTTGGAGTTTGCTCTTCAGTTATCACTAAGAAAACTTACACGTATTATTCAGTTGCAGATACTGTCAGGTTTTATTAAGTTAAAAAATAAGGGAAGAATCACCTCTATTGGTATCGCACCTGTACCACACATGGGATCAACTATGATATCTGTTGGCTGTGGATCACAAAGTCTGAGGAACAGAAAAAAAAGATATGGTGAGGAAAGTCTTAAAAACGTGAGTTTCTGTAAGGAAGGAAAACGGAACTATTTTAATCACGCTATTCTACCCTTCTAACAAAAAAACTTCTATGTGATCATTTTTTCCATTTGTTAATTAGCATTTTATAAGCAGCCAGACAGTGCAATACTTTCAAGAATGTGATACGGTATTTTGAGAAGCGGCAAATTTCACAGCAAACGTTTACTTAGCTGGAAAACATCCACTGATAATTACAAAGCACACTGTTTCAGCAAGTATGCTTTTTTTTTTTTTTTTATAATTAACAGAAACTGCTTTTGAGGAAGCAGTGGGGGGGATAAAGGATCTAATTTCTGAAACAAAATGACTTATTAACTGAGAATGATATAATACTACGCAACCGCACTGACCTAAGCATGCCATAAGCGAGAGTTGAACGAAGAGTTGTGGGTCCAAAATGTGTAATATTTCTTCTGTGGAGACTCTCTTCGGTTAATGCAATACCCACAACTACTTCATTATTGTGAATATTCAGGAGAACCTAAAGAAAAAAACTTGAACTAAATTTCAGGAGTAACAGAAGTTTTCCATAGTATGCCTGTTAAATATTTATGAGGATCTTAGATGGCAATTTAAAAAACAGGAACTATGTATAAAAGAGCATTCTTGGAAGAAAAGCAATGCACCATTTTAATGGCAACAATGGACAAAATTCAGGAGAGCATTCACACAGAACAAGAACGAGCATTTTCTCATTCGCACAGAATCTTTTACACAAGACTTCAAAAAGTGCTATAACCATTATGCTGACTTTTAAAAAGTTTTGTTTTATAAGTATGGAGGAGAAGTCGGGTAAGTCCTGCAAGTCACAGTGAAGCATCTGCAAAGCAGCAATAAAAATCATATTCCCGGTCCCCTCCACCATATTAATTTGGAAGGTGAAAATATTGTTACAGAACAGCGGGCCAGCCCTTAACAGACTTGCCAGAAAAACTTAGTTTCTCTGCCCCTCCAAAATGACGGTCGCGCACCATTGATGGACCGTGTCTGTTGGTCGTCCTTTCCAAATCCCTGCTTTCCCTATGATAAGGAATAAACGCTGGACAGTTAATGTTAACCCCTTCTGTCCCCTTCACCCATAAAACTGCAGCTTCTAGACAGAATATCTTCTGTTGACTTACAGCAATATAAAACAATGAATTAGAGAGAGATTTAATGGGGTAAAAATAGAGCAGAAGGTGCCTACATTATATTTAAATATGAATGAGACCAAACGCTATAGGAGGAGGTAATACTCGGGACCAGAGCTTTTGCTGTGGTTGAGGGAGAGTGGAAAGCTTTGGAGCACCCGCTCAGCTGCACGGGGCACAGCGATGTTAACCTGAGGAGAAGACAACAGTGTTTGCAGAGCAAAAGAGGGACCCGAGGAAGAGGAGAGGTGCCCACCCTAGGCCACAAGAGAGATCATTCTTACGGACAGCCACAGCACTAGCGAGTGGTGGGATCTGAGTGGGATCATGTGCCAATGAAGTGAATGCTTCTGAGGAGGCTGTGATTTCAGCGTTACCACTTTTTAGTTCCAGAGTCATCTTTTGAAGGCATTTGGGAGATCTCTAAGCATTAGAATTAAGAACTAAGAATTTTTACAATAGAAATGTAGGTATTTCCAAGGCACGACACCATACCTCTACATCAAAGTTAGTCATGTCAGCTTTCCACTGGAAGTGCTCCTGCACAGCTCCACCGAAGTCCCTTGCAGCCTCATTTGACGTGAAACTGTGCTTGTCTCCTGCTCTATTGCACGTAACACGGAACTTCAACACCTTCGCCTCTCCTTCACTTGTCTTACCAGCTGTGGTCTCACTCCCAGAAGCCGCCTGCGATCCGTCTTTACCATCTGACTGCTCATTATCATCCTCCTCCTCCCCATTTCGGGATGCCACTCCTTGTGTCTCGTCTGTATCCTGGCCGCTAGCGGGTTCTCCCCCTGCAGCGTCTTGGGCACAGTCCTCCTCTTTACTAGCATCTTTTTGATCTACTCCTTCCTCTTCTCCATCGTCATTCAGCTTCTCTTTGCTTGCAGTACTCTGCAGATTATGTTTTTTGCGTTTTGTCTTTTTCTTTTTTAAGCTGTTGTTCAGCTCCCAAACTTTCAACGGATTGGTCCAAGGCAGTGTTTTAACCAAATCTTCCAAATCCTTTAGAGCATCTTCCTTTAAAAGACAAAAAAAGTTATGCTTTGAAGTCATTCCATCCCTTTAAAAGCCGTCCTTTTTCTAAGTCTCTCAAATTAGTTTCCTAAACATGTCACCCGCTACACATTTAAGCGAGGCTTACAGCTTCTTGTGCTATTTTTGCCATAACTAAACTGAATTGCACTTAAAGACACAGGACTCATAGTATTTCATCATTTATCTTGTCAAATAAACAGCTAACACTAAATTAAGTGACCGAAGTGATACTTTACTGTCCTGCGTCTAAGCGTGACCTACAAGCGTGGTATCAGCTCTCATCCCAGATTTTGCCCACGCAACACATTTAACTGAAGAAATGATGTTAGACAACACGACTGCACTTCCATTTTACAAGCCAGCAAAGAGGAACTGTGATAGTATCACAAATGAAAGAAAAAAACCCCCAACTTGCTCATGAAACAGAATACTTTTCTGAAACTAGTCTTAAATGAAAAAAAAACCACTCCAAAACCCAGAACTGACTGAAAAATGAGGAGTAACTCACCTTGTTTTCTTTAAATTGATAGTCTTTGAACTCCTGAACAACAACAAATAAATTATCCACTGACCTTAGACGATGGACCTAGGAGAGATGAGAGAGCGGGGTGGCACGTTACTGACCGCGGGTGTCTAGGGGACTGTGTTTATTGTAACTGGAATTTTGCCATCTTACAGCTAGATGTAAGAGACCACGTTTTTCCACTTTTGTTTACACGGGGGTGACCAACGGACGCGCAAAGCCAGAAGGAAGACTTCTTTGCACCGACTTAAGCTCCCCATCTTTGACTCCATCCGCCCTTGCAAAACCAAAACAAATCGCGGTATCGCTTTTGAAACCAAGCCTCCCAAAGCAGAATTTCCAACTGTTTTTCACAACGAACGCCTTTCAAACGAGAGCATTTCGCTCACGGCGGGCCGGGCTCCTCCGCATTAAAACTACCGCTCGTCCGGTCACAGCCGCAGCTGCGA